AGGTACACTAAATGAATGGAATTTATCTAGAGAAGTGTAGTATAAAAATAACATATCAGTTACAGCTTGATCCATTTTCTCATGGTAAATTGACTGTAAATGGGTAATACGGTTTTAAAAACTACCAAGAAAATGTTCATTTTGTGGACTTGGAGGGAATAAGTTGACTTTTACTTTGGATATTGTTGATGATTTTTAGTTTTCTGCTTTGCTTGCTAAATATGGTTTGCCTGCCATGGCAGAATGACAATATTTGTAATTACAACACTTGTTAGACTCCTTGATTAACCCTGCTGCTTTTATAGCTTCAGAGTCTCCTTTGCTAGTAGAAGTACGTTTGAAGGCTACCGATTCATTAACCCACAATTCAGGTTTATAAATACTTCTTATTAATAAATATAATACAAAGAATGTTAAACAAGAATGGAATAGGGAGTAGGATTGCTTTATTTTACCCTATCAGTGGATTTGTATTTTTTTGTCTGTGGCAGAAACATCAGCGAATCTTAGATTCTACCTTATTCTACAAAAACTTCCATGCTAAATAAAGGCTTATCTAAGTCTGCTAATGTTGGAGTTGAAATATTGCTAATGTGTCTCTTACTCATAGTTGCTGCTTTTGGGGAGGAAATCATAATACAGATAAACTTTGTGTTGGAATGCTTCTTAATATTTACTGATACACATGCTCTCTTTTAGCTGTTGCAAGAAAGTTAAAGTAAGGTCAACATAAATGGATTTTCCACACCCTTATTACAGCTAAAAGACTGATTCTGCAACACTGGAAGGAAAATGCCCACCACCTATAACCCAATTGATTGAAGATCAAATGATGCTTTCAACATTCAGAAGTGGCATTTAGATGATAGCTGTGATATGAGAAACATACAGATGCTTAGCCTGCCTTTCTTGAAGTTTATGCATGTGTTTTATTGATAGCTGAATTTTCATATACTTATAGGTATGCATTTTGTTTACATTAATTGTTGCAGATTTGTTAAAATGTATGCAAGAAATTTATGCAGCTCCTTCAGAGTGATTATTGGTGTCCTGCTTGCTTTTCTGACTAATATTGTCCTTAGTCACTGAGTTTTGATGTACAGCCTTCTGTAGGCTGTTCATGATTGAACTATATTTTTTCCATTCTGTAGTAATGGACCTACTGGTGTTTATATAATGAATTTATATGCTGCTACAATAGCTCATATCTGGGCTCTCTGTGCAGCTCACATTATAAATGTTCTGGGTGAAGTTCATAGTTTGGTATTTTTTTAATAACCCAACCTTGATTGGTGCTTCTGCACAATTTTATCCCAGAGTGATTTTGAGAGCTCCATGCTCTCTTCATGATGCTTTTTAAAAAAAGATATACTCGCCAACAGACTATGGGACCTTCCTGAAACAGATGCATCTAATATGAGATCATGTGACACTGGAATTGCACACAAGTGGATTTTTAATTACTTGCACTGCTTTCTAGAGGCAGTGGGTTGCAGCAGGGCTAATTTAGGCATGTCACAGCAAAGGGAGGGAATACTTATACAATCAACAAGTTTTTGTTTTGTTTTTGTTTACTTGACTTCTGTGCCACAAATAAAGGAAAAACACCTTCAGGGTGCTGAGAAGCTTGTATACATCAAGTGGTAACAATGTCAAGTAAATCCATTTCAGTTCTATTTTAACACAATGAAAAATAGGAAATTTCAAAGTGTGTGTTTGTAAATGCTTTTGCAAAGTGCTGTATAGGATGCGAATTACTGTTCAGTCAACAAATGTAGAAAATGTTAGATAATTTTCAGTGGAAGGAAACAACTTGAGTACTGTATGTGGTGCAAAAAGGTTGGTGATTGGTTGATATTTGTGTAGAGTTGATAGTTTGGTACTCTGTGGTTTTCATGTTTTGCAAGGATGAACAGAGCAAATGGTACAGCATGAAAATCAGTGCAAACTATTTGCATAAGGAAAAGAGGTGGAAAGGTGTGTTCATTTTCTAAGGCAAATGCGAGTCTTGAGCATTAATAAATGATTTTTAAATAAATGATTCTGATATCAGACACTCTGAAATCTTTAAAAAGATATTCTACTTCTTTTCTCTGTTGCATAAAATTTACTATAGAAACTTAGAATTGTTTCTAATCTAAGCATTGAAGCTTACCTTGTGCATGCCTCAAATGAATATATGCTAAAATAACTGCTTTCTTGTGATGAGTGTAATGTTTTTGGCACTTTAGTTTGGTACTTAAATTTATTTTAATGTCTTTGTGGCAACATTTTAAAAACTGTAACATTTTGAGTTGGGAAATGGGAAACTGGCTTGGGTTGATTGGATGTATTCTGTAATATGGTATGTGCCTAGGATATACAAGGTCTGCAAGTGTTCTTTTGGAAGTTCAGATTGCTTCAACCTTGAGTATACTGTCCTCGGATCTGATTGCAGTTGCATTCTCTCAGTTTATCTTATGTACTAATAAATAAGGTTAAGTCTGTAATCATCTTCATAGATAAGACTGAGTCCACTGAAAATAGTGAGATTCACTCCCAAGGCACTATGCATAAGGTTACATAGTGCATAGGAACATTTGTCGTAAGTGTATTACTATGTGGTGCATGTGTGCATGATGTTGTGTTCCATAGCTTGTTGGACTTAGTGAATAGGGTAGAGTTTGCCCATCATATCCTACATCCCTTGAATAAGGACATTATTCTGTATGCCTTGGAGCATGCTTTGCTTATGAAGTGTAGAACAGCCCTGTGATAAACAAATAGTAGCATGTATTGTACAGGAAAGGAGTTTGGCATCTATCTATTTAGGTAGTTTTTATTTGCTTAGTTCTTCGTCATTGTCTCTGTGCATCACATGTGGGCTTTGCTGTGTAGCTCAAGGCCTAGATCAGAGAGAAACTTCCATGGCTCTTCAGCTTTTTGGCAGCCCTAGCTAGTAAGAGAAGCTAAGTAGGAGTCTGTCAGGCAGTAAGCTGAAGAAGCTTCTTGTAAATAATAAGCCAGAATTCTCTGCAGTTATGGCTTATCATTCTGTCCAAATGAAGTGATTATTTAGTTTTTAAAATCTATATTAATGTTGAGTGCTACTAGTATAGGTATTTATTTGCTCATTCAGACAAAATTTTGAGGATTGTGGAAGATGCAAGAGGGAGGAGCTCTTTTAGTAAACAAGTGCAGTTCATTTAATATGAAATCTTACAAACTTTGTTGACATGGACTTTGATTTTTGCTAAATAGTGCAACAATCTTGAGTTGACAAAAGGCGCTTTTACTGTGATACTAGGAATTTGCCTGATTTGTAGCTGTGGGAGGAATATGGAAGGGATTCAGATATCTGCTCCTCCACTCCTGAATATTTACTATCCATTAATAACTTTGCATTTTCATGTTTAGGTGTTAAATGATCATAAAGGTTAATTATAAACAGTATTTAGAAATATGTTGAAGGCGTTGGAGGTGTTACGCATTTTAATTGCTGAATGAGGAAAGTACTGTACAAATGCCCATCTGTTGGATGGGTGAGCTCAGTATCTTTTTCCTGTTTAAGCCTCAATTTTTATCTTAATGAATGCTCATTAAGGTTAAGTAAATACATATGTTCAGCTAATTTTTAAAATACTTCCTTTATTTTTTAAATAGTTATTCTACAGCGCTGGCTGACCCACAGAGCTTTCTCAATTCTTTAACTGAGTAGGAAAATGTTAGGGTTAGAATGACCATCAAGACAATGGTACTTTAGGGGCTCTTGAAGTTAATTCCCCAAGTCCTGTGTCTTGCACAGGTGACCAAACTTTTAAGACTGCAAAGCAACATTAAATGCAACCATTCTACCACCAAAACATCATATACAATGTACAATTTCCGTGTATACTTTTTCTTAAAAATATTTACATACAAATGGAGGGGTGTCTTACACACAGGGGGCCGAGAGGAGAACCAAGTGCACGCTGGGGGGGAGGTGGGTGTGATCGGGGGAGGCGGGTGCACGTGCACAGCAGCAGCCTTCTCGCTCAGAGATCGGTAAAAAAGTGTGGGGTGTCCTATACATGGGGGCATCTTATACTCAGAAAAATACGGTAGTTTTCATTTGTGCCTGAACAAAACCTTTATTCCTTACCTCCCTTATTTTAAATTCTTCTTATACCTGCAGCACAGAACTGTGGAGGATTGAAAACAAAATTCATAATTGTATGAGCTAGTAGCATACTACAGTGGAATATGAAGTGCTAATATTGCCGTGTCTTTCTGTTGTTTATTACCATTTGGACTAAGCAACCATGGCTACTGATCACAGCAGGTGTCCCTTGTGACTGCACTTTGGCTTTTAATAGGCTAATTTATTTGAAGGTGCACCTTAGCTTTCTTTAGGTTCTGTTTAAACAGGCAGGATCTTATTTGTGGTTTATCATTCCACTAATAATATTTGCATCTTCACATTTTTTGTTTCTCCCCTCATACATCCAGCTTTAGTGAAAATAGTCTTTTTTTTAAATACCGCAGTCTCTTGTAATATCTGAACCAAGAGACCCTAGTCCATGGGCTCAATCTAAGATCATTTCATATTGAATCAGTTCCATTCCAAGATCTGAACCAGCTTGTATAGGAAGGAGCCCTTGGATGGGATGCCATATATGAATAGTTAGGAACTGAACTTTATCCTACCCTATTTATTGGTTCATCAGTTAATCCCCTCTCCTTTATTAGATACTGCTTACATATTTAAATTAAAAGGGTGATTTTCTCAGTTTGTTCTAAAGGCAATCAGTGAATAGTGAACTGCATTCAGTCCTGCTGCATGGAATTTATCTACCACCTATGACTTTTTTTCTTTACCAGTCAGTTGCAGCTCCTTCTCTGCAAATGCTGCCTAACAAATTTTTCAGAAGTAACATGTACTGGAGGCAAATGTGTAAATGCATTGCTCTTCAGATTGTTCAGTTGTAATTTGTTGTCTTTAATAATACATTAATGTCTGTGGATTTGTTTAATTTTTGTAGACTGCAGAATGGAAGGACTCTAAGTGAAAGACGAATCCTGTTTCAGCATGGAGATTGCATCATTTGAAGGGGAGCCTGATAGAGCTTCAGTGAGTAATTTTGTACAAAATGGTTTGGAACTAATAAATCTAATCAAAAAGAACACTTCTCTATATTAATAGGAATGTCTCTTTTTATTAATTGCTTAGTTAATGTTTAGTTTAGTCCCCAGAGAGGAATAATTTTAGTAAAAGTAAGCTAGTGTACTATTGGTTTCCTTTCATAAAGGTGAAAACAAGAAGATGGTGGCCTCAATGCTCTCTCAGGAAGTGAGCAGAAGTTACAAGGCCACTGCTGTTTCAGGACAGCAGAACCTCCGTATACACGCAGATTGGTTCCAAGCTTTCCAGTGGATGCCTGAAACTGTGGATAATAGCAAACACCAAACAGTACACTATGTAATAACAAGCGGGTGCCTGCAGGCGTGGCAGTGAGCAGTAAGCAGATGCCCGTGAGAGGAGAACAGTGAGCCACAAAATAAACTAAAATTAACTATATACATTTCTTTTTCCTAATTTTGTACATTTTAACCTCAGCACTTTAAGACTTTCTTTGACATTTTACAGCACTTCAGAACTTCTCTTTTGGACTGAGGTCAACTGCAAACGAGCCAGTGAATATGGAGTTCCTGCTATAATTTTAAATCAGGGATATTATACACTCATATATAATATCCATATTGACATATCTTTTATATGTAGAAAAGCAGAACTGAGTGTCAGATAACTTGGAGCAACTTCTAAAGTGGTGCAGCAGTGGTGATGCAGCTATAGCATTAAACCAACACTACCACAATATGGTAGTACTCACTAGTATAATGTGCCTTGCAGGTCATATTGCCTGTTTTAATTTTTTACCCTAGCAAGTGGTAATAACGTTGCACTAGCCTTGTTTTCTGCTGGTTCAACATTGTTAGTGCTAGCATTTCTCCATCCCTGAAGTAAATGTTGGGGAGAATATGCTCACTGTTAAAAATTATATAGGATATATAAAATACAAAACCATTGGGACCAATATTTAACTCCATAGAATAATTGTCCTGGATATGGAACAATGTTCCTAAAAGAAAACGGATGTTAATTTACAAAACTTAATTTTATGAAAAGTTGCACTGATCTTTAATTCAATCTAATTTGAAGTATATCTACAGTCTGTCCATTTAATTGTTGGCATCAGTAGTTTTTTTTTACATGGATCACTTTCATACCGTCTGCTTATGTAATATGATTGAGGATTTCTGGAAACCGATACTTGATATTATTAACAATGACAGGGTGTGTTGTCTAATATTCTATAGTTCTGCTTTGGAGTTAGTTTAAACTATGTTGTAGATAAAGACATAGTACCTTGCTTACTATCTATAGCTTAAATCTGTGTTGCTTCTTGTCCAAAAAGTGCTGTGATTCTATATAAACTTGATTATACATTACTGGGAGAAGTAAGAGCAGAGACAGTGGCTTGGTTCACACAAAATGGCAAGGAACCCTGCACTGCAGATTTTTTGCCTGATGTTTTAGGGTGAGTTCTCCCTCTTCCCCCTCCCAAGTGTACTTACATCTTTACAATGCTTTCAAGTCACTCCAGCTCTCAAAGATTTTTTTCCTTAAATCATAATAAACTCTTTTGCCATGATTCCCCCTTTTCTCTCTGTATATTTACCACATCCTCTCTGTTTCTGAAAATAAACAGGGAGATGGGCATATTGTTTGTCCGATAGGGATAGATCAGGTATAGATGCATATGTTGCCAGAATGCTGAAGCTAGTAGATAATGGATAACTGAGCATCACTTCTGTTGCTGCACTTTACATGGGATTCTATGGTTTTTCCATACTAACAAAGGTAAAATGGAAATTCCACATCTGTCAACCAGAGAAGCTGAAGTGAAGTGTGGAAACTTCAGAACAGGCTGTTGATCTGCTCCACAGTTTTAGGAAACTAAAGGTATCACACAGAAGTACTATGAGAGGGTCCAGATGATGCAACAGATGAACAAGGATAAGAAATCACCAGGCCTTCTCATGACATGTGAACTTGGACAGTTATTATTTTGCAGGACATATGTATTGCATATATCAACCTGGTAGATAATGGTCATTATTGGAACTTGTATTTCCATGCGCTTTTCAGTGTTTTAAATACAAATACGATAGAAGATGGTGGCCTCTTTCTTAAATACTTCCTGACCCTATTTGTTCATCTACAGCTCTACTGAATCACAGGAAGTATGAATGATTTTCTGCTCCTGCTATAGACTCTTTTATTATATCAGTCTTTTTTCCTTGTCTTTCCCTTTCAAATGGCGTTTTCTTTACTTAGTCTGCAATCTTATATGTACCTGTTTTGGAGAAACCCTCAATAAGCATGGTGGAACTTACTGCTTGTGCTATTAGGCACTATTGTCACCTTGCAGATAGCAAGATTTTCATCACTGAAGTCAAATGTATGAAAGCCAATGAGCTTAGGTTGTTCAGTCTCAAGGATAGTAAAACAATTCCTTGATTAGGACCAATCAGAATACACAAAGTTACATGCTTTTATCAGTGGATGAAAAAATAGAAACTGACCAACATGTACCTGGAGACCATGGTCTCATTAACAATAGTGAATGAGTTTGTTTTTACAGTAAAAACAAAACTGTAAACACTGTTAAGCATGAGGTATGATCTGATACTGCGATATGTCAGGAAGCCTGGTTGAAAATTAATATTCCTTTACTTGCATTTCTTCTCTCTGACGTAAGCTCATGTACTTTGTGGTTCATAGTTGAAGAACCTCGCTCAAAAACAAACATCTTTCAAATAGTGTCAAAAGTGGCTTCAGGTCTGCAGTTATCATCATTATAAGCCAGTATAGTATAACTTTTATTTTAGAAATTGTCTGCACTAGTGTTCCTCAAGAAGATTTGTATCAGTTGTGTTGGACTACAACTTCTACCATCTGTAGTCAACATATCCACAATTGATTTGTGTCCTGTTGTTCTAGGGAGACAATGGCACTTGGCAACTTAATGCTTACTATAATAACTAAAACATTTTCAAATTAATACTCAATGAAAATAGTACTAAAACAAACACAAAAGCACAATAATAAGAAAATAAAAACAGCACCTAACCTCACAGACTACCAAAAGCCCTGTTTGAATAAGAACTTCATGATCTGCTGGCTGAATGACAGCAGAAGGGGAATCAAATTAGCTTCCTTCAGCAAGAAGTTCTACAGCCTCAGAGCAGCAGGTGAGAAAGACTCTCTAGTATTTATTGTCACCAAATGCAGTAGTATGGAAAAATGCCTTTTTCTGAAGATCTTAGAACTCAAGCAGAACAGAAGACAGTCTTTCACCTAGCCTTGCCCCAAGAATAATACACTAAACACCTGGTTGAGATTGCTAGTAAAAACATTCAATAAGGTGCACAATGAAGTAATAGAAACAGTAAACGGATAAAATGCTAATAAAATAGAACAGCAGAAGCAGCACTTAAAACAAACTTGTAAAATCAGTTATGTAAGAATAGAAGAGAGAAACCACAAGACTAATATTAAAAGCTGAAGTTCCTTGGCAAATAAAAACTTCTTTGTCTGGTGCTGAAGCAATATTAAAACTGATACTAGATGAGCCTTTCTGGGAAACTGGTGCAGTTAAAAATGATCTCTCTTCCTTGCTCACTACCAGTGCTATTTACTGACTGTGGGATTGAGAGGGCCTCATATAATATCAGCATAATTTAAATAGACTCATGTGGTAGAAGGCAGTTCTTTATATAAATGTTTAGAATAGTGGACTGGACATGCAATATTTCAATTGAGCTCAGTAGTTAGGCTGAGAGTTAGTGACTAGTCTCCAGCCATTAAAATCACTGGAGAGCTGTCACTAGCTCTCAGCCTATTTCAGAGGGTTCAGATGATAACTTTGTGTGAAGGAAGGATAGGATAAATATAAAATAGAAGCTGAAAGCTATTACTTCACTGCCTGTACTCATATACTGTTAATTAGAAGTCACTTAATATTTCTGCTTTATCCTTTCTAAAAGTGGAAAAAAGAACATGAGATTTTCATTGCCCCCATTGGATCATCTCTATTACTAATCTGCTCAACTGATGACTCACTCTGCTGAAGACAGCTTGGCAAGGGCTTGGTAAATCTCCTAGTGTCGTGAATCTAAATTATGAGGGGCTCACGACAATATGACTGGGTCAGCTTTGTTTAGTGGGTTGTACATTGTGCAGGTCTACTCTAGTGGTGTATGAATTTTTAAAACGTTATTGACCTTAGGTGTATGAGAAAATATTTCCCTTATCACAGTTCTTTATAAATTGGAAAATACTATTATACAGAATAACAATTATAGGAGGGATATTGTGTACCAATATCTTGGTTACTGATTTGCTCAGCAGCTTTTCAAAGAAACTAGCACAAAGGTTGGATAAGTGGCAATTAATGCATTTGATTAAGTGGGCTACAGTCCAGGAAAGCTTATGCCAGAATGAATTTGTTAGTCTTTAATGTGCTATAAAACTTTGGTTTGAAAGATCAGGATCAGACCTCAATTTCTGTTCTCTCTCTTAGACATTTCCAATTCAATGATGTTATCAAGGAGAGAACTTTCCTGCACACCTGGTGGTCTGGATGTCACTTCCACTGCCCAGCTCACTGGGCTTGAATGACATAGCCTTATGCAAATGAGGTGGCCTGTGACCAGTACAGAAGGGGCATCCATGCAGCTTCTTTTTTTCCCCCCCATTTGTGTGACCCTGGCCAAGGTTTATATAGACTCAGCACTAGCAGCAATATGAGCACCCAATTAAATCAAAAAAGGGGAAAGGGTCATATATCTTTTCACAAAATGAAATATTGGAGAACTTGGCAGATGCAGGGGCGTATCCATGGAACTTTAACTAAGAAAGCCTTGCTACTTGTTACCCCCTGCCTGGCCTCTGAAGATCTTAATGCTAGTAAGAGAGATGTTCATGTGGTCTTTAATGTAACCTACCACATACCAGTTTTAGGCTTTGAAGGTCAAACTGGAACTGACTAGAAACAATTTTGTATTCCATGGCATTGTTTAATCCTGACTACATATGTTCTCTGTAATTAAAATATTGGGCCTGACCAAAGGTTTAGGTGTTCCTTCAAATATCATGGTTCTAAGCTGCTGAAGGTATTAAAGGTGATCATCAGCAGTTTAAATTGTCCCACAAACATGCTAGCAGTCAGTGCAGCTGGTACAGAATGAGTGTAATATGCTCTGATCAGCAGCTGGGTGGCTCCACCTTGCAGCAGCTGAAATGAATTACCAAGTGAGATAAGAGGGTGCCCTTGGTCCTTGAGTAGGTAACTAGCTGGATCAAATGCTGTTGTCGCATCACCATGGAGAGGAACAAGTTTTCTTACAGTACTCTATTTTATCTGGATTAAGCCACTCGGCTTTTTTTTTTTTTTTTTTTGGGCCCACAGTCATCCCAAAACTTTTGGGTATTTCCATAGTCACTATATAACTAGTTGGAGGAAATGGGCAGAAGAGATCTAAGTTAGGAGACAAGATGAAGGCTCAGTCTGGAAACCAAGTTCATTTTTTCTAGAGCATTTTTGTACTCTATAATTTATTTTCAGCTATTGACTGCTAAATTATAAATGTTTGGAATTTAGCTTTCTTGCTTTACAGCTTACACTGCATGAACATGAAACTTGTCTTTGATTGTGTATGAGCTGCTTCCTTGCCCTCCCCTGCAGGTGTGGTAAATGTGTACAGTACAAGGAGAACCTGAGTAGACCTCATTAGGGTTGTGTTAGCCTTTCATTTAGGAGTTCCTTGAAGGTGATTAGCTATGCAGTGCTGAAATATTTACATACTGGCCGTTACAGTAATCTTGAGTGATCAGCTGCTTCACTCAGCTTTCCCACTTCAGTATTTCTCTTGCTGGTGTTTGCTCAGTTATACAGGTTTGTGGATGCTTAACCAGCTAGACTCTCTGCTAATTCATGTAAGTACTAATGAAAGTATAGTAGTTACATTGTAAAACTCAGCTGAGTCATTTATGCTTAAGATGCTCTTTGTCTCTTCTCCTCCCTTTCCTTCAAACCATTGCATAAAAGATAGCCTAGTTCTTATTTATTTATTTAAAATTTCTTTCTATATTGATCCATAGATGAAGCTCTTAGGGCAGTTTACAACAATACATAAAACAATACAATAAAATGAGTAAAATAAACATTAAAAAATTAAAAACATTCTCAGTCATAGGCATGAAAATATGATCATGCAAACTAATTGTAGCACTTCTGTACCATTGTTCTTCACTGTTGCTATTATTTCTAAAAGTTAAAACTGTAAAGTAAAAGTCCATTTAAGAGTGGATGTAGTCTCAAACATGTTATGCTAGGCTGAAGCAGTCCTGGATCTGCTTTAAAAACATTTGACAGTGGCTAAACACCTTCTGTAATCTTGAGGTTCTTCAATAACTGCTTAGTATTGGGGTTTTGTTTGTTTTTTTACTATACAGATTCTTTCCTTCCTGAATAATTTTGAAAGGAGATGATATACTGCTGAATCAACCCATTTCAACTTGGTCTGATCAAGTTTTGGAACATGGAAATATAGGAAGCTGCTGTATAGCATCAGTTTGCTTTTCTTTCTGGCAGTGCTTTGGGATTTAAGGCAGGTGCCCTTTCCAGCCCTACCTGGAGAACGAGAGATCATCTGCATGTAAAATATGTTCACAGAAAGTTCTGATTTTAACAAAGGGGGAAAAACTCCTCAAAATACATCTTAAGATATTGATTTCTGATTGCAACTGTATTAATTATTGAGCAACGTTGGAATATTGATGACAAAGCATAGCAAGAGAAAATGCATTTGTTTTTCTTCCCTCAATAGCAGCCAAAAGAAAATGGGAATGACCAACCAAGGCTTTCCATGTGGACCCCCACATTGAGCTTCTTTGCAGCCCTTCCGCATCCTCAGGGATACTTGTTTTCTTTTTTTGGTTACATGCCTTGCTCAGCATGTTGCCTGCAGTGACGTTCTTAAACCAGCCATAGGGTGATCCATGTGGCATACCTTTTGTGGCCTCACCCCTCTCACCTCCAATGTACACAGTCTGAGTTTTGGTGAGGCAGTGGTACAAAATATATTAAGGATTTCATGAAAGATTACAGAAGTGAAAAAGAGTTCATCTGAAAGTATGATGTAACTAGCAGAGTAAAGATCACAGTATTGTGGCAAAAGGCTACAAAACAAAAACAAAACAGACTAGTTACACATTACCCTGCGGTAAATTGCCTACTTGGCTGTGTGAAGACTCATGACTTCCATGGTACAATTTCCTTTGGTACCTTTGTCAAGACTTGACACCCCAACATTGGTAATGAGGGGGAAGAAACCCTAAATTCCAGCTCCTAGCAGAATATATGCACTGTGGTTCCCCCCTACTTCTTGGGTGGGGATTTTGAAAGAGTCCCTTTGAGTCCGACTGAGACCTGAGCTGCCATTCCCAAGGATTTCGCATCATTTGGGCCCCTGGACAATTGACCAATTAATGTGCTTAAGAAGTCTCTTATTGCATCTGTTAAGTGGAGGTTCTTGGTCCTCAGATGAGTTCAGACAGGGGATTTACATCTCAACACCAGTGGCTAGATAGTGTGGCCTTTTGTAAAGATATGCAGTTGATTGTAACATGTAGGTTTCTTCCTTTTGGACCTGGCCAAGATGGAGTCAGTTTGGTCTAGTAAGATGAGCCACTCCTGGCCAACCATAATGCTTAATACAAATGGGTGCTGTAACAAAATGTTGCAGTATATTCCCAGCCCATGAAATGAGTGTTCCTGTTTAGGGTTTTAGTTAGACTTTTTAGACTAAACAGAATTTTTAGGCCTTTTTATAGGTGCAGTTTCAGGAAGAATATAAGAAAATGACACTACTTTTTCTTAATCAAACTCTTGAGGCCTTCCTCTACTATGCTAAAGGTATCCAGTAGCAGGTGAAATGGAAGATATTTGACTGTGAACTTGGAAAAGCATTTCCAGTTAGATAATATTTATTTATTTATTAAAACATTTTTATGCCGCCCCATTCGCCGAAGCCTCGGGGCGGCTTACAACAATAAATTAAAACATCATAACATTTTAAAATATATACATTAAAATAAAATACAAATATACAATATAAAATAAGCCGCCCTGGCCCGATAAAATTCAATAATATTAACATTTAAAATGCTGCTTAAATAAAAAGGTCTTCGCCTGGCGCCGAAAAACAAATAATGACGGCGCCAGGCAGACCTCTCTGGGGAGCGCATTCCATAACTTAGGTGCCACTGCTGAGAAAGCCCTCCTCCGAGTAACCACCCTCCTAACTTCTTTCACGGAGGGCTCCCGGAGAAGGGCCTCTCCCACCGATCTCGGGGGGCGGCTGGGCATATATGGATGTAAGCGCTCCTTCAGGTAGCCAGGCTAGATGGATAAGTAGTCTGACTGTATAAGACAGTTTCTCTTGTTCCTATGAAGCATGAGAACTCATTTATAGATGGAGTTCTGGAGAGTGTGAAAAGAGGGAAATGCTCGCATAAATCTATCTTTTCAATAATGTTTTTATTAGAATATTGTATAAATCACTTGATTTTCTAGTCTATAGTACTCAATTCTTCACTCACCACATCTCATTCAACATGTTAATTTAGAGGAATATTATGCAGCAATCTTGGTTAGTCACTTTTGGATTGTGCAGGTGAAGTGCTTGATAATTCTTTGTCAGTAACGTTATTAGCATTATCAAGGGACTGAATATAAGTTACTCTTTTTTCATTTGCAAGTTTCAGAAAGGCATCCTTGACTTCAGTGTTCTAGCTGATGATTCTGGTTGGCATATTATGTGATGAATAAATCAGAAAAATGTTGAAATGTAATCTTCTGCAGAACTACAAATAACAATTTACTAACTGTAGCAAAGCTAACCATGGTCTTTGCTAAGTGTACTTGCCTGTGTGGGTTTTTCATTTGCTTCATGCCCTCTATTGTGGAGCTATGTAGTTACAACATTCTATCAGGATTGACCTGCATGCTTTATCTTCAGTTTCAAACTAACTTGCTGTTTCCCTTGTTCTTCTTTCTTTTGTGTGATGGCTGCTGTATCTCCCCTCCCCAAACACACATTTTTTGGCCTGGATGCTTTTGTTTGCTGTTCTGCATATTCTGCTGTGCTTCCAGCATCATGGTGATGTCAAAGACTGTCAGGGAGCCCCAAGTAAGTAAATGGTTTTTCCAACAGTATGTGAACAATATATTCTTGTAAGGTGAGATCATGATTTCCCTTGCTTGTTCCACAACTGACTAACAGTACCAAATGCTGGGGATTTAAGAATGAATTCAGAGACTGACATAGCAGAAAATAGTATAACTGTAGAAACATGTGTGCATGCATATTCAAATAAATTTAAATGTTGTTGTAACATAAGATAGTATTTTCCCTCAGGTAACCATTGAGTAATATGGAAATTAACAGAAGCCCTGCCTGATATGTTTGAAAATTGGCAAATAGAATTTCCAGCTGACACATCTCTCATATGAAACAGTGAACATGAGCTTCATAATCTTATTTTGAACATATTCACACAATTCCTTTGATTTTAGTAGAATTTCATTTATACTGCTATTGGTTATATGGCAGTCAATTTTTCTTTCATGCTAGTAAAGTGGAAGAGAGTGTAATTAGGATGTGGTCTTCTAAAACTGAGAACTCTATAGGCAAGGCATCCTTTCAGTATGCACTTGATGCGTGTGGTCAGGATCTAATCATCAGTGTTAGAAAAAGGACCTTGAAAATGGATTTCTTTTAAAACGGGTGCACAGCTATCAGGTGGCGGACATAGGTGGCAGAGTCCTGTGGCTGGAGACCAGGAATGGGGATGATGGAGGTGGATATAGATCCTGATGTGATGTAGTAGGGCCAGAGACAAGGGCAAAGTCAGAAACAAACAAGGGTTGGATACCAACAAGGCATCACAGGTCCAGAAGCAAAGGCAGAGTCAGGAACAGGCAAGGGTCAGATATCAATCAGACATGGCAGAACCAAAAGTGAAGACAAGGATCATGGCAAAATCACAGGTCAGACCAGAGTCAAGGGCAGAGCCAGTAGTAGTTAGGAATCAAGGCATAGTCAAGAACAAGGCGGGAGTGGAAGCAAGATCATGAATATGATGCAGCCACTGCAGAAGCCAATCTTGCTGTGGCAAAACAGCAGCACAGGAAAGCCTTTTTAGAGCCTTCCAAAGCTCCCAGCTTCACTGCATAACTGCACAGGCTCCAATCCTTGCAGGTACTTAAAAGGTTTGATCCTGGTCCTCTAGGCACTTGCAGGATGAACTGTGCTTCTCTTCACCACCATGTAACCAGATGGAGCTGTATCGGGACTTTGACAACACCCATATTTGACCCCAGTATCTGATAGATGCTGCAGATATACAGAAATGTTCAGAAAACTTGTAATTTCTGTCTTCAGGAGTTGCTTCTTTAGGGTCATTGGACTCCAGCCTTCTCTCAGCTTCAGTCCCCTCCCTGATTGTACCTTTATTACTACTATTAGCAGCAATTCAGAGTATGTCAGGGTGTGGAGGAGGAAGTGGCCAGTCTCCCAGTCCTTCCTTCCCTTGTCCTGTATGACCAGTGTAGTTAGCAGCATGCTGCTATGGATTTTCTAGTGGTTTTCATGAAAGTAGCTGGGGGTCTTGAGGGACTGCACAATATAAGTCTGTGGATTGTGTACCTCATATTTTAAAGCACAAAAGTTACTTGTTTTGTGTTGGCTATTTAGTTTTTAAAATTACTAGCAATTAACATTTTTACTAGTTAATTAAAAAACAGCAAAACTGCTTATTCAGTTTCACTCCATATTCTTAGTCCAGATTTCAGCCCCTCACGAATTTTTTTTTTCCATCAAAAAATCACGATGGTCTAGTTTTCATGCTATAATGGGCATAAACATCTATCTTGTGTAGATTAATGGAAGATACATAGTATGCTCATCTTTTCATTGTACTATAAGTAGACAAAGTCCAGCTGTTCCTGTTAAAACACTTACACTGAAGAGCTTTTTTCTTATGTAGCTGTATGAAACTGGTCACTATACTTAGTAAGATTTGGCAAGATGCTTATTTATACATTAGTTTGTTCTGGAATGTTATCTTGAGGCAGGAAATTGGCTACGGAAGTGGTTGGAGGAGTATTGCATTGCAGCGGAGTTAAAATATTGCTATTGGGGGTTAGGCAATAGTGTTTAATGAATTCTTCACCAAACAAGATCCAGGGCAGATGCCTGTGCATGAACTGATATTTTCAGGAGGGGAGTCAGAAGAACTGATGCAAATAGTGATGTCAAGAGATGAAGTTCTAGATTTTGATGACAAATTGAAAACAAATCACTAGGTTCAGATAATATCAACCCGAGAGTTTGTAAAGAATTCAAAGGTGAGATTGCTGATCATCCAACAAAAATATGTCCTGCTTCTGTACCAGGAGACTGGAAAGTAAAAACAGATTTTTAAAAGGGATCTAGTTGTTAGTTGGAAAAATACAGGCTCATTGGGAATGCCTGTTCCAGATAAATTCATGGAAAGCATTGTTTAAAGATAAACATATCAAGCATATAGAAGGAGATGTTCTGCTGAGAAAGAATCAACATGACTTCTGCAAAGGTAAGCCATGTTTCACTAGTATTTTCTTAGAGAAGGTCAATAAAGATGTGGAAGGAATGATTTGACAGACATTGCTTGTACTTCCAAAAGGCATTTGACAATGTCACTCACCAAGGACCCTTTAGCAAATTTAACCATCATGAAGCAAAAGAGAAGTGTTTTAATGGGTCAGGTAACTGGTTACAGAGCAGAAAGTTCAGGAATAAATGGACAGTTCTTGCAATCAAGGGATGTAAGCAGGCTCTTTATTGGTACTGATAATTTTAAATTTGTACATAATCAGTATAGGGTTAGGGGGATGGCCAAGTGTGCTGATGACACCAAGTTATTTTGTGTGGTCCAAACAAAAAGTAAAGAATCTGTCAGGTAAACAGAATATACTAAAATGGCAAATACAGTTCAGTATAAGTATGTGTAAAGTGATGCACACTGAGGCAGAACAATCCATATATATTTATGGAATCTGAGCTGAGCCTGACAGACCAAAGAAGAGAATTTGGGGTTTTGTTGGATAAATTAATGAAAATATCAGTCCAGTGTGTAGCTACTATGGAAAATGGGTATAATTTTAAAAAAGAAAAAAAGAAAACTGTCAGTATCACAGTATAATAATGCCTTTATAAAAATCTGTGTGGTGTGACCACAGTTGGAAAACTGTACAATTTTGGTTGTACTGCACCTCAAAAACGTTATTGTAGAAGTGGGAAAGTTGCAGAACAGGGCAGCCAAATTAGTGAAAGTGATAGAACAACTCCCCTTTGAGGAAAATTGTAATGTTTGGGACTTTTTGTATATGAAAAAGGTGATTAAAGGGATACATGATAGAAGTCTATAAAATTAATCATGGTATGGAGAAAGTGAATAGGTGTTAGAAAGTGAATCTTCCCTCTTTCATAATAGTAGAACCCAGGGTAATCTGATGAGGCTAAATAATAGAAGATTCAGGAAGATAACAAGAAGTACTTTACACAGTCCATGGTAAAGCTATGGAAATTGCTACCTCAAGAGAATTTTGGTTGTTGGGCGATTTAGAAACTAACCAACTAAATAAATAAAATAAAGCTGTAGTGATGGGCGCCAATTTCAATGGCTTTAAAAGAAAACTAGACACATTCATGGAGCATAACACTATCAATGGCTACTAGTTATGATAGGTTGCAGTTTCAGGGGCTACATATGGCCCTGTACAGTAGGTGCTGGAAACAGCACTAGGAGAGTGTGTTCCACCACTGTCCTGCTTGTGGCTTTCTCATGACCATCTGGTTCTGTTAGACTAGAAAACTGTTGGTCTGATCCAGCGTATCTCTTACATCCTTACCTATAGAGACTGGAATTCAGCAGGGCCACCACTGGCCAATGATAACTGAAACTAGTTATCATTGTCTTGTGCTTTATGACTCAGTTTCCTGAACATTTTATCACACTCTCTGCCACATGACAAAACTTAGGTAACATAGGATTTTTCAAATAAGTTTTGATATGTCATGGAGCATCTGCTGTTCAAAGGAGAAATGTAATCCTTATTGTTTTCATGCTCACCTAAATTAGCCTTTTGGATCCCGACCATAGCCAACAGAATCAAATATGTTCGGGCACTAAGTATTTCACTAAGAAAGTAGTAATGCTGTGTAAATTGTGTGTGGAAACAGTAGCCAAAACAGTACCATTTACACACAATGGGAAGGCATTAGCAGGCATGGGAAACATTCCAAGGCTTTCAGGAGTTCAGAAAAAGGAAGGAGCACTTAAAGAAACAGCCTGATGAGAACTGAATATACTCAGTAGCCATAGAATGCTGAGTGTCTCTCGGAATAGTGGGGAGATGAAAAATTGTGTGAATGAAAGTTAAGTGAAGAATCCTGAAAAGGGCATGTTTATTGACCAAATACTGCCTTAAATACTTGTAGAAAAATGTGTTTTTATAAATTGTTTGGAAGGATTCTTGTCTATAAATACAACTATGTAAAAATATTTAACAGGTTTTAAATTCAGTTAATTTACATCCTGACTGTATTGATATGCTAGTTTCATAGAGTTGCCAACCCTGATAGTGTATCCCCTGCAAACATCCCATTACTGCAAGTTTATACTATTTATCTGGAGTTGGCATCAGTGCAAGCCTGACTTCCTTGTAATATCTCTTTATAAAAGCAGCTTAAAATAAGGGCTCGTCTTTCTAAAGTAGCAGACACTGTCCTGTTTCACACATTATGACAACCTACCATGGGTAACAAGCCAGTAGGTTGTTGTGTTACCTGAAACCAGAATACTTTTGGCCTGGAAGATTTGGGGGGGGGGGGCAAAAGCCACCCCAGCAACTTAGGAGTTGTTAGATCCATGTTGGACTGTTGTGTTGTCGAGCAGAGGACAGCAATTTAATAATGGATTGTATGGATTGGCGAGCAAGCAAGAATATAAAAGGCCCTGCTGGTTAGCAGGAATGTAAAAGGTCCTGCTGGTCTTCAAGTTGCCATTTGCAGCCTCTCAGTCAATGCCCAAACCACTTTGAAGCTCTAAAAAATTTTAAAGTGGCAAATGAAAAGGGATAGCAATTGGAGTGGGAAGGGGCAGACAAGGTGGATTCTACTGTGAAGGCTACTGGGATAGCAACTGGAGAACAACGTGGGAAGAAGCCACAGTGAACCTGATCATCTGTTGGGCACACCATGGGTTGTTCTGCAAACAACCCACATTTTATAATTTATTCAGAGGGTTAGCACTCTGTACAAACACACTCATTCTCATGATATGTGGTCAACAAAAGAATACGACAAGTACAGTAAGGAAATACAACAATTTTTGCACATACTTTCCCCTTTGTTTTCAAGTTGTGTTAACTGCTACTATGTAGATGAACTCTAATGGGTAGTATTGTATATTTGCCTGTGTGGTATTTTCATATGCTTTAAGCACAAAGGAAAATGTCTAGGAGTGTTGTTTACACATGCCACAAGTTAATCTGAACATAATGTGCATCAGTCATTGACATGGGATAAAGCTTTGCACAGCAGATTAGCACCATTGGATACTGGGACATGATGCAGTCCATGCAGTTGTGGATTATTACTTTAATAGCTTTCTAGTTTGTTTTTTTCAGAATGAAATCCCTTTCTTTCCATGCCTCAAGTAGAGTAAAATGCAAAATAAATAGGCAGCCGAACCATTCCCCAGTGGAAGACCACATGGATTTTATGTATAAGGTTCCAGGTTCAGTCCTCAGCACATCTAGGCAGAGCTGGAAAAATCCCTGCTTGCAACCCTGCAGACTCGCCATTTGTGTCAGGAGAATTAAGCTAGGTTAACCAATGGTCTGACTCAGCACAAGGCAATTTCTTATGTTTCTAAACAGTTAGTGCCTGTGGTGTTTAGAATTTTTCAACATGGGTTCTTTTGTGTTTTTTCAGTGGGTAGGAATGATTGAAAGCTGCAGGGATCACATTTTGGCTAAACATTAGGAGAATTTCCTAACAGTAAAGGTTGTACAGCAGTGGAATTGAACTAGATGATCCCCAACATCCCTTTTAACTCTGTTTCTATGAATACAGTTTGGAAAAATTACACATTTCTTTGACAAACACACTTCTCTCTTATTTGGCAAAATCATGCATGACACTTTCCGTATTGTTAGTTGAGATTTTTAAACTGCAAGAAACACACCTTTCATGTGACAAAGCTGTCATAATTTGTGTATCTTTGAGATTTTCTGGTAAGTGGTATTACATTATTCTAATATTGGAAGTTGTAATGCTTTCCAAAGGCAGAACAGATTTCTATAGCGATGTTAGAGAATTTGAGGAAATATGCATTTCCACAGAAAAGTCTCTAGAGGGCACTGTGACAGTGTGAATGTTCAGAAAAGGTGATGCAGGGTGGTAGTGGTGAGGGGAATAGCCACTGAAGCGCCTGTGTGGAGGGGAGACAGCATAACATCAGAATATGCAACTCTTAATGACAGGGAATTCCAGAGAGAAAGAAAGATCCCCCAAAATAAACATTGTGATTTATGAATTAAAGTTCAAATTTAAGCTTTATAAACCCTACTTTTTGTATGTAATTTCTAACAATATTCTCAGGTATTTTGAGTATTAAGTAGTCACAAGGTTTACTGTTCTAGGGAATGAAGTTAATTCTTGAACATGCTATTATATATAGCAGTTTGATATACTTTAGAAATTTAACATCGGAAAGATTTAGTCTGCAGCATTATAGAAGATACAATTAAAGATCTAAAGCTAGACTCAAAACACTAAAATTTCTGAGGTATCAGAGAAAAATTGTCTTGTGAAATTGTCAAAATTGGCCAATCTCTTTCCCAGAACTTGGAATTCTGTGAAGAACTAAGTTTTTTCTGGCATATGCTTAGTCACTTGGAAGCTAGTGCAGTGCTTGCCCTTCCTGTGCTACTGCATTAATTCTAAGGTGGAGGAGGTAATGGCATGGTTCTTCTCCATGTTGGTATCGCACAAGAATTGGAGTCATTTAGGAATAGAAAGCAGCTCATGGCATATGAGCTCAGTCTTCTGAGTTTACGGTGATATGTAGAGGGACACATGCCGTTGTAGCATCTCTCATTTTTAACCCAATCAATGCTTTTTCATAAAATAGTTAGCTTTCTTCAGTTTCCTCATAGAATCATTAGAGCTGGAAAGGGTCATGAAGGGCATCGAGTCCAACCCCCTGCTGTCTTCACTTATTTACTTTGCCCCATGCCTAATGACCAACTACCTTATGAAAAAGAAGTATAATATCAAAGGGGTGTAGTTGTATGGTGGTAGCAGAAGTGATGGGAGTGTTTGCCCCGTAGTGAGGTATGATCCTCCACAAGTGGAGCTGCCTTGGAAGGCTTTGACAGTTATAGGTGACCTATAAATGTATGTATGTATGTATGAGTGGTGGCTTTAGCGGTAGGAACAGGATAGAGGTGGTCTACTACATTTAATGTTAGTGCTGGGATTGTGGTAGAGTAGGGGATCCCACCTAAAGTTTGTGTTTGTCGCAGTACAAAAGGGGTGGGTGGGACCAGGGGAAGGTGACATGTCCACCTGAAGAATCTGAGGGAGCTGGATTGGGACCCCAAGAAGGCTGGATTTGGTCCCCAAGTGTGAGCTTCTGCACCCGTGATCTAATGTAGCTGGATCAATTACATATGGCTTCCCTCTTCCAGGTCTGTTCCCCATTTTTATTCTTTGTTGAATTTCAGAAGTTAAGCTCTTCCTGTACTCAATAAAATTTACAGTGTAAAGCACAATGAATGATGATGATTCTCTTTGTTTTTCTAGCTGTGGTAATGCACAATGATGAATCTCATGCTCTGACTTCAGGAAAAATGAGCCAGCGTCAGGGGAAAGAAGGGTATCTTACTCCAACCAAAGAACTACACCAGCCATCATTGAGTCCAGGAACAGTGCATGGTCATGGTAAGAAGCATTTCATTATAATTAATAGAATGTCAAATTAAATATTCTAGCATCTGAAGTAGTTACTACAGTATTTGCAGCAAATGTCTTTATATTCCATGGTAATAATTGGGTATTTTGGATGTACAAGTTTGGCATATTATCCTATCTTACCAAAGGCTTCTGATTTGAACAAAACTGGAAACTATCATTTGTGGCTTCTTGCTTTCATTGGGCCATTAAGGGAGAAGCAAAGGGACTGTATGCATGGGCAAAATACTTCTTCACTTTCAGTTTAAGCCAGTATATGATCATAAGAGCCTGGCCAGCTCTATTTGGCTGTCAGGATGATGTGTGATGGAATAAGAAGGAAGCATAGTTGGATATCACTTGGCTTTGGCATAAATCATAAACTCCAACTACCTCCCTTCCTTGCCCCTGCCATGCCCCTTTTCCTCCTCACCAAAGCTGATGGTATAATTCTTTCCATGCTGCAAAGGGAGCAGGATGTAGGTGCAGTGTTCAGAGAGTCCCAGCTCCATAGTCACAGAAACTCAGAGCTGTCACCCAGCTCCCCAACCGTGTCAGGATGCCACTAGATTGCACCCTTGCTGAGTTACTACTGTCTACATAAGTTGTACTTGAAGGTTGCGATCTTATGCATACTTAGCTAAGAGTAAAGCTGATTGACCACATTAGGATTTATGTTTGAGTAAACCTGGATAGGAGCAAATCCTGATAGGACTGTAAGCATTCCATGGACATATACCTGAATAGTCAAGTTATACGATATGGCATGGAGGTAGGGAATGTAAAAAGTAGGAAAAATTTGCATAAAGTAGCTGCATTCAGGTGGCATAATAAAACATATTGTGGTGGGAAGAAGGTTAGCCTTCCACTGGGTGCACCCACTCTAAAATTAATTCTTGTGCCTTAATGTGAAATATGGTGCCTATTTCAATGATGATTGTCCATTTCCACCAATTTTTGGTCTGAGGCTGATGAAGTAGCTCTAGAATTTTGTGGCTTGTCATGCATTCTGTGGTTTTCATTTATACATCAACTTATTTCTGCACTGAGGCAGCACAGTACAAAAAACTGAGTTGGAAATTGTACTGAGGTGATATGAAGCCAATTTTGTGATTTTTGAAAATGAAGCTTTGGAAAACAATGTAACGTTGTATGGATTACAAGTCTTCGCACTGCCCAATTTATATACTTTATCTCATACCTATTCTGATAATGCAAATATATACCTTTGGTCTCTTTTCAATTTATACAGTTAATTGGACAAAATAGGAACCAATGCCACTGGGAATAAGCACTCTTAACATTATTACTTTACATTTATACTTCACTTTTCTTCCTCTTGCAAGGAACGAGCCCAGGGTGGTTTACAAGGTTCATCTCCTCTGTTTTATCTTTACCAACAGCAACCCTGTGAGGTAGGTTAAACTGAGTTTCTTTGACCCAAAGTTACTCAGTGAGCTTCACTGCTGATTAGGGACTTAAACCTGAATTACCCAAGTTCAGCACTCTGAATCACTGTGTCACTCTGGCACTCACTTTATTTTATCTGATTGGCACTATAAATGTTGTCCAAATTCAGTAATTTACCTTGGAACTCAAGTTTCAAAGAAGATAATCTTGGGGATTAGAATAAACCTCAGCTACATCATTCGCTAGATCAAAGCTGACTTAGATGATCATCCCTCATTAAGACTACCTGGGGAAAATGAAATGTAATTAAAATAAATGTCCTTCCATACCTATCATCATCCTTATCATTATTATCTGCTATTATGGCACTGTAAACTGAAAGACTCCTGTGAAGCTAGCTTTAATTTTCCTTATATCACATGCCATTTTTTGCACTTGAAAAATAGCAGTCCCAACTTGGGTCCATTGTGCTTTCATTGGCCACCCTAGAATATTATTGTCAATTATCATTTGTTGTTTACTCTCAGGGTGGATGTGCTTTTGGATCCTTTACATGTTGACTAATTAAGCTTGTGTTTTTCCACAATAGTAACACCTGAGGGGAAATGGCATGATCTCAGGCCTCAGTTCCACTGCACATTCTTCATCTATGCTGAGCTTATGGTCTGGTGTAATCCACATTTTAAAATAGTGGGACAACCAATTTTATTGAGAGCTAAAAAGTTATTATTTCCATTCTAGGCCAAATTATCAGCCCAGTTAGTGAGGTTTTTCACCACCAGACTTGTAAACTGCACTCAGCCTCCTTGCCATACCCAGGTGACAGTTGTTGTTAGTCGCGAAGTCATGTCCGACCCATCGCGACCCCACGGACAACATTTCTCCAGGCCTTCCTGTCCTCCACCATCCCCCAGAGTCCACTCAAGCTCACACCAACTGCTTCAGTGACTCCATCTAGCCACCTCATTCTCTGCAGTCCCCATCTTCTTTTGCCATCTATTGTTCCCAGCATTAGGGTCTTCTCCAGGGAGTCCTTCCTTCTCATTAGGTGGCCAAAGTATTTGAGTTTCATCTTCACTATCTGGCCTTCTAAAGAGCAGTCC